GGGTCCGGATCCGGACCCTGGTCTGCTAATCCTTGACCTCTGATCTAGTCTCTCCCTCCCTGTCCCTCCAGGCACTGGTGGCGTTGCCATGGGAATGTACAACACGGATGCGTCCATCCGAGACTTCGCCCACAGCTCCTTCCAGATGGCTCTGACCAAAGCCTGGCCTCTCTACCTCAGCACCAAGAACACCATCCTGAAAAAGTACGACGGTCGCTTCAAGGACATCTTCCAGGAGATCTATGAGAAGTGAGACCTTTCATTTACTTGCATGATGGACCCAGAACAAAGGGAACTAGAACTAAAAGAAAGTCTCTCTCAGGGAATATCGGGCTCAGTTTGAGGCCAAAGGCATCTGGTATGAGCACCGTCTCATAGACGACATGGTGGCCCAGGCCTTAAAGTCAGAGGGCGGCTTCATTTGGGCCTGCAAGAACTACGATGGGGATGTGCAGTCGGATTCTGTGGCACAAGGTTGGTGAACGGAGCTGTTTGATGGGCTGTGAAGGAACCTTTGAAGCTCCTGACTGGGGATTGTTTTCAGGGTACGGTTCTCTGGGGATGATGACCAGCGTTCTGATCTGCCCTGATGGACGCACGGTGGAGGCCGAGGCCGCCCACGGCACCGTGACGCGTCACTACAGACAGCATCAGCAGGGGAAGGAAACCTCCACCAACCCTATAGGTCAGAGGAGTGGCTGCATTACAAAACCTGCGTCCCTTTGCTTGTCTTTACACCACCCATCTGTCTGTTTCAGCCTCCATCTTCGCATGGACGCGGGGTCTGCTCCACCGGGCCAAGCTGGACAACAACGCGGAGCTACGGGTGTTTGCCGAGGCTCTGGAAGCCGTCTGCATCGAAACCATCGAGGCTGGTTTCATGACCAAGGACTTGGCTATCTGCATCAAAGGCCTGCCAAAGTGAGTCAGACTGCGCTCTTTGCATCGTCTCCCTTCAGTGAAATAAAACAGGAATTTTATCACTGTCCTAAAAGCTGAAAGCTGGAGCGATCTCTGAGCAGAAACATCTAACTCTAAACTCTAGCTTCCTGTTATTTTCTCCTTTCTAGAAGTTTCTACCTGCTTTTTGCTGCCTGGCCTTGATTTAAGACCTGTCACTGAATCTAGAACCTAGTAAACCCTAAAGGGACACTGAAACGCACCAAATACTTTCTCATGCACACCAGTGAGTTTCACATGTGCACCAAATACTTTCTCATGCACACCAGTGAGTTTCTCGTGTGCACCAGATACTTTCTCGTGTGCACCAGATACTTTCTCGTGTGCACCAGATACTTTCTCGTGTGCACCAGATACTTTCTCGT